ATGAGTGCTGAAATCCTTCTCCAGGGGGAATTTCACCAGGAAAATCACGGCTAAACCCAATTTCAGACACGCTGATTGTGTTGAACGCCCAGGGAGCACTGGGGGCGATGCTCCTGTGGGAAAACAGTGAAAAACATGGCATTGTGTGCCTTTGGTGAAGATTTCGGGGCTTTTGGGGCTCCTCTCTTGATTTTGGAGCTGTTCCCAACATCTGAGCTCAAAGTAGCCCCAAAGAGAAGGGTTTTAAATCCAAAGCAGCCCCAAAGAGAAGGGTTTTGAATCCAAAGCAGCCCCAAGAGAAGGGTTTTGAGCCCAAGCAGCCCTAAAGATAAAGGTTTTGGGTTTTGAGCCCAAAGCAGTGGTGGGGGCTCAGGGAACTGATCCCAGTGGTGAAAGCTCCAATTTGGGATGACAATCCCTGTCTCCATCTCCCGAGGGATGGAATTCTGCTGTTGTGCCACTGTCCCTGGGTGTAGGGACAGGATTTTGAGGTTCTGCCACTCTCGCTGGGTATAGTGACGGGATTTTGCGGTTCTGCCGCCATCCCCGGGTTTTTCATCCTCTTTCAGCTGTCCCGAGCTGAACTCTCCCCTCCCTCGCCACATCTGAGCTCTCRCTGACTCATTTCCCGTGTCCTTTGGCCCCGGCACCGCTGCTGCCTCCGCACKGGGACGGCCCCGGCTCGAATGCGGCTTTCACACCGAGCTCCTCGGCGCGGAGTCGCGGTAGGGGCTGGGCGAGCTCTCCGGCCTTTGAAAAGCCCGAGTTCGGAGCTCAAATAATCCCAAATCCGCCTCTTTGACTCCTGATCTGCGCCCTGATTTCCTGATCTGCACCCCATTTCCTGATCTGCAACCTGATTCCTCAGCTACACCCCAATTCCTGTTCTGCGCCCCAATTCCTGATTTTCACTCCAATTCCTGATCTGCACCCTGATTTCCTGATCTGCACCCTCATTCTTGATTTTCACTCCAATTCCTGATCTGCATCCCTATTCCTGAGCTAAATGCACCCCATTCCTGATCTAAACCCCAATTCCTGTTCTGCACCCCCATTCCTGATCTGTGCGCTCATTCCTGATCTGCACCCTGATTCCTGATCTGCATCCTGATTTCCTGGTTTTCACCCTGATTCCTGATCTGCACCCCATTCCTAATTTTCACTCCAATTCTTGATCTGCACCCCAATTCCTGATCTGCATCCCCATTCCTGATCTGCACCCCCATTCCTGATCTGCACCCCAATTCCTGTTCTACACCCCAATTCCTGCTTTTCACTCCAATTCCTGATCTGCACCCCAGTTTGTGATCTGCCCCCTGATTTCCTGATCTGCACCCAAATTCCTGATCTTCACCCCCATTCCTGATTTTCATTCCTTTCACTCCATTTYCTGATTTGCACCCCAAATCCTAATCTGCACCCCGATCCTGAACCTTGCGCTTCCCACTGTTTTCCCAGTGAAATCAGAAAGGCACAAAACAAGAAAAAAAAGGACAAATCCCCCCCTCCCAAATTAAGGAAAATGCTCATAAAATCCTCTTCACCCAGGAGCTGGGAGCAAAATTAATAAAAATAATCCACACCAGGGGCTTTGTGGGCTCTCTGGATTTTCTCCAARCTCCAGACCCAAAGCTGGGCAGTGCCCGTGGGATGCAGGGAGTTACAGGGACCAGGATTTGGGGGATTTTGTTTCACCCCACCCGAATTCCCCCTCCCCCGAGCCTCCCTTGTGTCCCCAGGGTGTTTTTCCAGCTATCAGCAGCTCCGATCTGCCTTTGTGGCCTCGCTGACCTTTTCCACGCCTGTTTTCTGACACCTCCTGACCAGGGAGGAAAAGACACCCCAGAGGAGATGAATTCATTTCCTCCAGGCCCACCCCGGGGTGTTTTCCTTGAGAATCCTTCGCTGGCATCGCTCCAGGCAGGTGGGATGGGCGGTGCCCACTCCCACTCTCTTTTCCCRATTTTGGAAATTCCCCTGAAATCATTTTATGAATATTTCCTGGGCTGGATGTGGGGAGGAGCTTCCTCCTGCTGTCCCCGTGAGTTTGCTGAAGGGAAAATTCCGGGTGGGAGGAGAAGGGTGGGAGACC